TTTTCAAGACATGAATCTATCTATTGTAGTTTGTTTCATTGTATTTATTTTTTTTAAATTAATAAATTTTTCAAGAGAATTAACTAATTTTACTTGTTCATTGGCATTTTCTTGTTGTAATAAAAATGCACAGACAGTTTCTAAACTTTTTGAAGCTTCACTAGTACTTAATAATACTTGTTCAATACTATCATCTTCTTCATTATTGCTTCGTACTTCTGTCTGCTGCTTATACATTTCCACAAATATTTCAACAATTTTATCATCCTCAGGAATTTCATATACAATTTCTTCTTCTGGATTATTCAAGAATTCCTCAACAGGCATTGGATCATTTAGGTTAAGAGTAACAACAGCCTGATTTATTGTTGAATTGTTATCAGAGAGGTTAGTTAAATTAATATTGGTTCTGTCAGGAAGAATTTTGGTGTGATTCCAGCAGTTATGGATGGTTTCAGGTGTGACTTCACTCCACCCTTTAATAATATAATGTATTGCCTGCAAATACACCCATTTTTAAGTCTTTTATATTTTTTCCTTTTTCAACTTGACTTAGAATCCAGTTGATATGTAAATGTCAATAATGTCTTTTGAAAGACATAATAATTCCAGCATCCATTGGCTGGATTTTTGATGTGGTATTTGGAGGGAGGAAATGAATCCCAACATTTGAAGAACTAAACCATCAATCTTATGACTTGGACAATTATCAAGAAGTAGCAAGGCATGTGGATTTCTATGTTTCTTAGCAACCTCTTTGTCAAATTCCTGAAGCCAGTCTTGGAAAATGGTTGTTAACATCCAAGCCTTAGAATTACTATGATATGTCATTTGTAAGTTATTTATGTTAACATTATTAAAGCATCATGGTTTTTTATACTTTCCAATTATTAATGGATTTAATTTGTGTGATCCATCAGAGTTAGCACACAAAGAAATTGAAATTCTTTCTTTATTTTTTTATGTCCAGAAAGTCTTTGTGTAGCTAATGTTTGATCTGGTTCTAATTCAGCTGATGATTCCTCTCCATGAAGCTTTCTTTCTTTAATTCCATTACATCTTTTGAATTTATAGAGCCATCCAGGAGAAAATGACAACGTTCCTTCTGGAACTCCCAATCCACTTGCTATTTGCTTGACTTTTTCGATTAAAATAGCTTCACTTAAGATGGATCTGTTTTGGTAGATTAAAATAAATTCTTTGAGGGCTAGTTCAAGTTCAGGGACTGTTACATTTTTATGTCTTTTGGCATCTGGATTAGTAACTTCAGTATTAAGTATTTCTTCTTTTTTTCAGAATTCTTGTTATGGTTGTTTCATCTACTCTAACTCCCTATTTTTGTTCAATCCAATTAGCATATTTCCTTCTAGTTAATTTGCTATTGTTAGCAAATAAACAAAATTCATGCTTTTTGAGAATCAGATAAAGTTACTCTACTTTTTGGAGGCATTTTATATAAAAGCAATAAAAGAACAAATATTTTAATGAGAGAAGTGTGAATGCAAAAATTAAATGGTTAGATACGGTAGGTATTATTATTAGAAAAAGAATCTGCTTTAATTTCATGTATAATTTTTTAAAAAATTTAATTTTGCATATGAATTTTTTTTAATTTTGTATATGAATTTTTAAGCTTTATTTATATTCTGAAAAACAATCTGATGTTTTTAAAATAAACTAACCATTCACTTCAAAGAAAGTAATAACTGTTAGTTAATAATAGTCAATTATTTTATTTAATTAATTATCATTACCATTTGAAACCTTTAAAGAGTATTATAAAGAAACAATTTAATATTTGTTGGATAGAAGATATAAAATAAAATATGGCGAATGAGCAGTTTCAGACATCTTATAAAGGAAAACAAAAAAGATCAAATAAGAATACAACAAATGTATTCTTGTAAAAAAGATCAAATAAATTTCAGAATCGGTTGTTGAATATCCTTAATATTCTTCATAAACTTGAGTTGGCTCATCTTCTAATGTTAAATCAATTGAACCATTCATATTTGAAAGTTGAGAAACTCAAGAATGAGAAAGAATTATTTTATAAATGAAACATTTCTATGAGAAAGAAAATGTTTTCTATGAGAGAGTAAATGAAAACATTTTCTATAAGAGTAAATGAAAATGTTTCTGAAAATATTTAAATTGTTGTAGCAATATAAGTTATTTTTTTATTATCTTTAAAAAATTTTTATTAGATAATATAAATAAAGTTAGTACTATTTGTTATCAATTGATAATCATTTGTAAGTATCCAAAAATAATTACAAGTATCCATAATAATTATGAGTATCCAAAATTATTACAAGTATCCAAAATAATTACAAGTATCC